ATTGCATACTTTATTCCCAAAAAGACATGGTCACTTTTACCCAAGGGAGGAAGGTACTGAATGTCAAATATCTCTTCCTCCTTCCTGGTAAATATCAAATCTAGCATGGAGGGAACGTCCCCCTTCCCTCATCCTCGTAGCTTGTTTAACATGTTGATACAAGAATGTTTCCAGGATGAGGTCTACAAATTTACAGGTCCAAAAATCTTCTGTTTTAGCTTCATATGCTTCCCAGTCTATGGATTTCAAGTTGAAGTCACCGACTATCAACAGTCGTGATCTATCGTTATCCGCTCTCGCTATAATCTCTCTCATTATTGTTATAAGACCTTCACGTTTACTATCTAGCTCCTCCTTTGACCATGTGCTGCTTGGCGGTGGACTATATGCATTTATCATCATTAGTTTATCATCCTCATAGCAGATCTCTAGTGCTATTATGTCAACTTCTTGTGGATTGGCAGTCATTATTTCCTTCACCTTTAGGTGTTCTTTTACCAGCACAGCAACGCCACCGCCTTTCCTAATTTTTCTGTCCCGTCTCCAAATTGAGTAGCCCCTTGGGAATATGACTTCATTTAAAATTACATCTTCAAGTTTTGTCTCCGTGAGTGCAACAATGTCTGGTGTCTGCAGCTGTATTACATCACTTAACTCCAGTATCTTCGATCTCACTCCATCTATGTTGGTGTATGTAATCTTCAGGAACTTGTTCCCCCTCTCCTTATTCTTCACTCCCCCTCTCTATTGATTTTGTTGGTTTGCCTTTATGTACCACTTTACTGGTTTGCCTACCCCCTATCACTTTGTAGAAAAAAGAATTTATTTCTTCTTCATTCCTGCTCTCATTTAAATGTTTTGCCTCGGCGAGGTTCAGTTTCAGCTTCTCTCTATCTTCTTTTGAAAGATCTCGTCTTAACGACCACACTTTCCCATCCTCATCCCTTTGCAATTTTCTAGCATTCCTTAGTACTTCTTCCATCTGTTTGGCACCGTTTAGGGTGATCCTCAAAGGTCGATCTTTCCCTTTACGTACCTGCCTATTCTCCTGTACCTGTGTATGTACTGTATGTATTTAACTGTATGTACCTGTGTGTGTGTGTGTGTGTGTGTGTGTGTGTGTGTGTGTGTGTGTGTGTGTGTGTGTGTGTGTGTGTGTGTGTGTGTGTGTGTGTGTGTGTGTACTTACCTAGTTGTACTCACCTAGTTGTGCTTGCGGGGGTTGAGCTCTGGCTCTTTGGTCCCGCCTCTCAACCGTCAATCAACAGGTGTACAGGTTCCTGAGCCTATTGGGCTCTATCATATCTACACTTGAAACTGTGTATGGAGTCAGCCTCCACCACATCACTGCCTAATGCATTCCATTTGTCAACCACTCTGACACTAAAAAGGTTCTTTCTAATATCTCTGTGGCTCATTTGGACACTCGGTTTCCACCTGTGTCCCCTAGTGCGTGTGCCCCTTGTGTTAAATAACCTGTCTTTATCAACCCTGTCGATTCCCTTGAGAATCTTGAATGTGGTGATCATGTCCCCCCTAACTCTTCTGTCTTCCAGCGAATTGAGGTTTAATTCCCGTAGTCTCTCCTCGTAGCTCATACCTCTCAGCTCGGGTACTAGTCTGGTGGCAAACCTTTGAACCTTTTCCAGTTTAGTCTTATCCTTGACTAGATATGGACTCCATGCTGGAGCCGCATACTCCAGGATTGGTCTGACATATGTGGTATATAATGTTCTGAAAGATTCCTTACACAAGTTTCTAAAGGCCGTTCTTGTACTCTCCTATTTGTACTCGCCTATTTGTGCTTGCAGGATCGAGCATTGACTCTTGGATCCCGCCTTTCCAGCTATCGGTTGTTTACAGCAACGACTCCTGTCCCATTTCCCTATCATACCTAATTTTAAAAGTATGAATAGTATTTGCTTCCACAACCTGTTCCCCCAAGTGCATTCCATTTTTCCACTACTCTCACGCTAAAAGAAAACTTCCTAACATCTCTGTGACTCATCTGAGTTTCCAGTTTCCACCCATGTCCCCTCGTTCTGTTATTATTACGTGTGAACATTTCATCTATTTCCACTTTGTCAATCCCTCTGAGTATTTTATACGTTCCTATCATATTTCTCCCTCTCCCTTCTTTTTTCTAGTATCGTAAGGCTCAGTTCCTTGAGGCGCTCTTCATACCCCATCCCTCGTAACGCTGGGACGAGTTTCGTTGTAAACTGAACCCTTTCCAGTTTCCTTTTGTGTTTCTTCAAGTGGGGACTTCATGATGAGGCGGCATACTCTAAGATTGGCCTCACGTAAGGCAGTGTAAAGCGCCCTAAACGCCTCCTTACTTAGGTTTCTGAGCTCTGGCTCTTTGGTCCCGCCTCTCAACCGTTAATCAACAGGTGTACAGGTTCCTGAGCCTATTGCGCTCTATCATATCTACATTGCAATGCATTCCATTTATTAACTACTCTGACACTGAAACAGTTTTTTCTAACGTCCCTGTGGCTCATTTGGGCACTCGGTCTCCACCTGTGTCCCCTTGTGTGTGCGCCACCCGTGTGTGCGTGCGCCACCCGTGTGCGCGTGCGCCACCCGTGTGTGCGTGCGCCACCCGTGTGTGCGTGCGCCACCCGTGTGTGCGTGCGTGTGTGTAGAGCTACACGTCTTTTCTATTGAAGCCGAATGTTGTTAAAGTATGGGGGGGGGCGGGGCGGGGCTTTTCTATTCTTTCTAGAGAGATGCTTGACATGAACGCGTTCCTCGTTCACATGGAAGATGATACACGCAGTCCTTCTCACGAGTATAGTGCAAGACTGTTGTTGTGTCTGGGGAACGTTGTCCGGGAATGTTGTTGTAGCATGCTAAGGGCAGGAGGAGGATGACGACCACGAGGGGGGGGGGGGGGGGGAAGGGGACAAAGTATCAGGGAAAGCGCCAAGCCATTACCACTATATAGCACTTGGAAGGGGGATCAGGATAAGGGTTAGAGATGGGGCAAAATTCGAGTTCAGTGTGATGGAGGTGGAGGAGGGAGGTGGGATAATTGTAACAGTGGGGGGCGGGGGAGGGTAATAAAGTGACGCGGGATATACTAAGCCACCTCTTGCGGGCTCGCCATAGCCCGTGCTACATGGACACTTCGCTCTGAGTAGCTAAATCTGAAGCAACAACAACATACTAAGCCACGTTATCTGGGCGTGATAAAACCAGGTGGAATTAAAACCTTGGGCCAATTGTTGTCATTATTGGTGATGGGGGGGCCAGCCAGGCCAGCCCGCAGCAGTCGTGGTGGTTGGGCAGTGTGATAGGTGCCCTTTATCCTCATCTAACCTATGTATATATATAACCAAGTGTTAATATATTCTGAGGTTGGAAGAAAATGCACTCTGATTGGGGACTTGTTTATTTTACAATAGTAAATAATAAATTAATAATAAATAATAAATTAATAATAAATAATAAATTTGTGAGCAGCTGCTTGCTTGTCAAGAACAGGGGGGCCACCCAGTAAGCAGGCAGAGCTTATATAACCTCAGCTCATTGTGAGTGCAGCTTGGGCGGTTAGACTCGGCTTCCAGACATACGTTTTCTTTTCCTCAGAAAACCCACCGCTTTTTTGGGAAAAGCAGTGTTCTTATTTAATTTAGTATTTTCTTCTCTGGGTGTCTGCCAGTGGGTCCTTCAGAATTTATTAATCTTTGCACTTTATTGCGCCCATTTCAATTATTTGGAGAATTTTTAATCAACCAAATTTTATATCGAGTCCTGTAAGTGCTACATTTATATTGAGTGTTGAAGAATTTAGGGATTCAGTTAAACTTTTCATGAATACTTGAAACTATTATTCGTATTTATCATAGTAGAAAGTATTTCTTAATTGCCTTGTGTTCACAGAACATTTGAATTTTTTAACAAATCCACAAGGGCCGTGACGAGGATTCGAACCTCCGTCCAAGAGCATCCCAGACGCTGTACTTCATTTACTCATTTGATGCATCACGTTATTGTGTTTCTGTGTGTAATTTGAAATTTTGCTCATTCACAAATCATAATATCAAAATAGCAAAGAATTATTTTCTTTAGTTTCCTCTGTGTATTTGAAAGAGAACTTCATTCCATTCCATTACATTTCCATCTATAATTTTTTTATTTTAGGCCCTTGTCGAATTCCAACTTATAATTTACTTACCAATATTTCGATTCCTTGTATAAATTGCTTGAAGTGGAGAAAGTTGTACTCACCTAGTTGTGCTTGTGGGGGTTGAGCTCTGGCTCTTTGGTCCCGCCTCTCAACTGTCAATCAACTGGTGTACAGATTCCTGAGCCTACTGGGCTCTATCATATCTACATTGTAAACTGTGTATGGAGTCAGCCTCCACCACATCACTGCCTAATGCATTTCATTTACTAACTACTAAATTATTTTTAACACCATTTACTAAATGATTTTTAACACAGAACTTGCCCCCCATGCTGGCACTTGTTGACCCATGCTGGCACTTGTTGACCCATGCTGGCACTTGTTGACCCCCCTGCTGGCACTTGTTGACCCCCATGCTGGCACTTGTTACCCCCATGCTGGCACTTGTTACCCCCATGCTGGCACTTGTTACCCCTATGCTGGCACTTGTTGCCCCCCATGCTGGCACTTGTTGACCCATGCTGGCACTTGTTACCCCCATGCTGGCACTTGTTGACACCCCATGCTGGCACTTGTTGACACCCCAGGCTGGCACTTGTTGACCCCCCATGCTGGCACTTGTTGCCCCCCAAGCTGGCACTTGTTGCCCCCCAAGCTGGCACTTGTTGCCCCCCAAGCTGGCACTTGTTGCCCCCCATGCTGGCACTTGTTGCCCCCCATGCTGGCACTTGTTACCCCCATGCTGGCACTTGTTACCCCCATGCTGGCACTTGTTGCCCCCCATGCTGGCACTTGTTGCCCCCCATGCTGGCACTTGTTGCCCCCCATGCTGGCACTTGTTGCCCCCCATGCTGGCACTTGTTACCCCCATGCTGGCACTTGTTACCCCCATGCTGGCACTTGTTACCCCCATGCTGGCACTTGTTACCCCCATGCTGGCACTTGTTACCCCCATGCTGGCACTTGTTACCCCCATGCTGGCACTTGTTACCCCCATGCTGGCACTTGTTACCCCCATGCTGGCACTTGTTACCCCCATGCTGGCACTTGTTGCTTCAGGCTGGGCACTTGTTGCTTCAGGCTGGGCACTTGTTGCTTCAGGCTGGGCACTTGTTGCTTCAGGCTGGGCACTTGTGGCTTCAGACTGGGCACTTGTGGCTTCAGGCTGGGCACTTGTGGCTTCAGGCTTGGCACTTGTTGCTTCAGGCTTGGCACTTGTTGCTTCAGGCTGGGCACTTGTTGCTTCAGGCTGGGCACTTGTTGCTTCAGGCTGGGCACTTGTTGCTTCAGGCTGGGCACTTGTGGCTTCAGGCTGGGCACTTGTGGCTTCAGGCTGGGCACTTGTGGCTTCAGGCTGGGCACTTGTGGCTTCAGGCTGGGCACTTGTGGCTTCAGGCTGGGCACTTGTGGCTTCAGGCTGGGCACTTGTGGCTTCAGGCTGGGCACTTGTGGCTTCAGGCTGGGCACTTGTGGCTTCAGGCTGGGCACTTGTGGCTTCAGGCTGGGCACTTGTTAGGCTTGGCACTTGTTGCTTCAGGCTTGACACTTGTTGCTTTAGGCTTGGCACTTGTTGCTTCAGGTTTGGCACTTGTTGCTTCAGGTTTGGCACTTGTTGCTTGAGGCTTGGCACTTGTTGCTTCAGGCTTGGCACTTGTTAGGCTTGGCACTTTTTGCTTCAGACTTGGCACTTGTTGCTTCAGGCTTGGCACTTGTTGCTTCAGGCTTGGCACTTGTTGCTTCAGGCTTGGCACTTGTTGCTTTAGGCTGGGCACTTGTTGCTTCAGGCTTGGCACTTGTTGCTTCAGGCTTGGCACTTGTTGCTTTTGGCTTGGCACTTGTTGCTTTAGGCTTGGCACTTGTTTGGCTTGGCACTTGTTGCTTTAGGCTTGGCACTTGTTGCTTTAGGCTTGGCACTTGTTGCTTTAGACTTGGCACTTGTTGCTTCAGACTTGGCACTTGTTGCTTTAGGCTTGGCACTTGTTGCTTCAGACTTGGCACTTGTTGCTTCAGACTTGGCACTTGTTGCTTCAGACTTGGCACTTGTTGCTTTAGGCTTGGCACTTGTTAGGCTTGGCACTTGTTGCTTTAGGCTTGGCACTTGTTGCTTCAGGCTTGGCACTTGTTATTGTATGCTTGTTTCATTAAGCTTGGCACCTGTTGTTGTACACCTGTCTCCTATTAACTGTCATATATATGTACAGTATTACTATCCTGTGCAGTCAGCCTAATGTATACATCATTATTTTATCGTTCGGAAATTTGACGTTTTACTAATTTTAACATTTAACTAACAATTTATTAATTTTAATAATTGTATGAGTTATTGGTTGCATATAATTTGTTGCTTTTTTAAATTGTTGTGTGTTGAATTGCATATCACTTGTGTTTGCAGGTAATCACTTGTTGGGCCATTGAGGCGTGCCATTTGGCGTGGGAAATATCCATTTGGCGTGGGAAATATCCATTTGGCGTGGGAAATATCCATTTGGCGTGGGAAATATCCATTTGGCGTGGGAAATTGCCATTTGGCGTGGGTAAAAGTGCCATTTAGGTGGGTAAAAGTGCCATTTGGATGGGTAAAACTGCCATTTGGAGTGGAAAACTGCCATTTGGCGTGGGTATAAGAGCCATTTGGCGTGGGTATAAGAGCCATTTGGCGTGGGTATAAGTGCCATTTGGCATGGGTATAAGTGCCATTTTGCGTGGGTATAAGTGCTATTTGAGATGGGTAAGTGCCTGTTGGGGTGGGCAAGTGTCATTTGGAACGAGGAAGATTCAGTTGGAATGGGGGAAGTGCCAGTTGGATTGGTGAAGTGCCAATTGGATTGGTGAAATAGCAGTAGGAATAAGGTAGTGCCAGTTGGAATGGTGGGAGTGCCACTTGAAATGGGGCAAGGGTACGATTAGGGGAAAGCACCAAGCCATTACGACTATATAACACAGGGAAGGGGGTCAGGATAAGGATTTGGGATGGGTCGGGAGGGGGGGGGGGAGAAATGGTGCCCAACCTCATGTGGACGGTTGGGGATTGAACACCGACCTGCATGAAGCGAGACCGTTGCTCTACCGTCTAGCCCAAATGGTTGGGCTTGAATTTGGGAAGTGCCACCTGAAATGGGGGGAGCACCACTTGAAATGGGGGAGTATTATTTTAAATGGGGGAGCACCACTTGAAATTGGGGGAGCACCACTTGAAATTGGGGGAGCACCACTTGAAATTGGGGGAGCACCACTTGAAATGGGGGAGTATTATTTTAAATGGGGGAGCACCACTTGAAATTGGGGGAGCACCACTTGAAATTGGGGGAGCACCACTTGAAATTGGGGGAGCACCACTTGAAATTGGGGGAGCACCACTTGAAATTGGGGGAGCACCACTTGAAATTGGGGGAGCACCACTTGAAATGGGGGGAGCACCACTTGAAATGGGTGGAGCATCACTTGAAATGGGAGAAGCACCACTTGAAATGGGGGAGCACCACTTGAAATGGGGGAAGCACCACTTGAAATGGGTGAAGCACCACTTGACATGGGGAAGCACCACTTGACATGGGGGAGCACCACTTGAAATAGGGGGAGCATCACGTGAAATAGGGGGAGCATCACGTGAAATAGGGGAGCATCACGTGAAATAGGAGGAGCCCCACATGAAATGGGGTAGTAACACCTAAAATTGGGGTGCACCATATGAAATGGGGTAATGCCACCTAAAATGGGGAAGCACCACTTGAAATGGTTGTGTCATTTGAAATTGAGAGAGCACCACTTGAAATTGAGAGAGCACCACTTGAAATGGGGAGAGTCACTTGAAATGGGGGAGTGTTAAATATTTAATAGTGCTAAACTATTAAATATCATCTAGTAAAGATGATATTTTACTCATGAGGTTTATAGTATTTTGTAATATTTCGTTTGTTAGACAATATATGGGATATGCGTTCAGGCTTTTTTGGAGAGGCCTGTAATGCATTATATATATAATTTTATACACTCCTGAAGTCTTGTTCTTTGAATTCCAGTGTGACATAATAAAATTCATTATTTTTTTTATCTTGTCAGCCCATTCTCACAATTTGACAAGTGTCTAAATTGAAACGGTTTTGCTTACCCATAAATGCCTCCTGAATAAATCATCCGAACTAGCGGAGCTGATGCTTATTATGTGGGAAATGCATACAGATTAAATTGCTTAAATCCCACTAAAGCATCTTGGTTGGAAAGTAAGAAAGAAATTGTCAAAAGAAGGCACCAAGCCTCAGCTGGGAAGTAGCTGTGGCAAATATACTCAGAATCTCGTGTATACTCTGGAACTGTTTCATGATCTCTTATTCCCCTCAACAGAAGTATATCCAATACTAAACAGGTAGTGTGCTGACAAACAAGAGCCAGCTCAGTGATAATATAAGAGCAGGAGACCACGTGAAGCAAGACTCCATCCTGCATCATGTTTGGCTTCCTGAAGAATGTCGTTGAAGACGTTGTGGACAGTGCGCAAGACGAGCGGAACCGGTGAGGAAACTTTCCTTTGGTCATTTCTTGCTTTTCCTGGCCTCTTTGAACCTTATAGTGTGTGTGTATCATTAACTAATGTGTGCATCAAATGAAGTTCTGGGCTTTTGAAAATCCAGTAGGATATGTGTCTTCTAAAAGAATAGCTAAAATATAGAACTTAAGCTTTATGTGCAACTTGTCCTCATACAAATTACATCACTTTTTGCTCAAATTTATTTATTTATATATATCGCACTTATTTATATATTTATATGCGCACTCAGGCTAAAAATCGACGTAATTCAAAATTAAGTCAGCTCAGGAAAATGACGTACTGTCCCGTTTTCTGTTTTGGGTCTTCTGGCTTAGTCTGTTAGTTTAGGAGAGATAACTTTCAATTAACGGTTTTCATGAGGGTTTTGAAACCTTAGGAGAACTTCCTGCCCTCCTAACCTACTAGAGGACTCTTAACTTGCTGTTTTGGAGAAAAAAAAATCAAAATTTATTTTATTTTTTATTTTCAAATTAAGGTACAGTACTGCCTTTTTTGATCATAGTGCATGAGCCAAAAGTGGGGAAATTTTTAAGAGGACAGGTTGACCCGATGTGTTCGCTTACCCTATACCCACTTATTCGATTTTTAATTTAAAAATGCATTGGGAGTGCTTCAGAGCCATAGCTTTAGACTGCCATCACAAATTCTCTTGAAATTAATTAAGCATGTTGTTGTTTGGCACATGTCAAACCTGGGGATTATAATAGTAATGTTATTCTTGGATATGGATATCTATCTTTTGTTTGGGGGGGGGGGGAAGGCATGGTTTACCTTAGTCTTATGAGTTATTTGATTATTTGAAATTTTGATGTAGGGAAAATTGTACCTAGTTAAAGGCATGATTTGGGGTTGTTTCATATACATAATTATACTGTAATGCACTTGTGACAATTTTTGTTTTTTTTAGTACAATTTTACCAATTTCGTTTCACAAGAATTCGAAATAAGCTGCTTTCATTGGATCAATTTAGATAGAATTGTCCCTTAAAAAACATACATTGAGACACCTTATTAAAATGGTACTATACAAATAAATTCAGCACAGTATGGTATATGGTAATATTAAAATGTGTTATAAAGAAAATTTTGCATGTTTATGGTCAGTTTGTCAATACAAAATGATATTGTGTGGAAGAAATATAGTTTTTACATCTACGAATGATTTTATTCCTTCTGTGCAGGTTAAATAAAGAATTTTTTTTTTTTTGGTGGGGGGGGGGTTCACAGTAGTTGTAGGTACAGTGACAAACTGTGTAATCATAGTGAAACTTACTGCAATTTGTTGGATGCAAAGTCTCCTTCCTTCTGGTAGTACAGTCTGGTTCATTCTCGAATCGGTTGAGAATTCTGGGTTCGAATCCCGGGCAGGACAGAAATGATTGGGTGGTTTCGTATCACCTAATGCCTTTGTTCACCTAGCAGTAAGTAGGTACCCAGGAGTTAGCCAGCTTGTGGGGTTGCATCCTGGGGAGGGGCAGGGGTGTCAGTAATTTGATTTTATTATTGTGTGTATGGTACTTAAATATCAATGATACGTTGATACGTTTTGTATGTTCTTATTCTTAATAATATACTTAGGTATATTAAGACTATCACATCGCATATATAACGGGAAGATACTGGGATACAACACACACCTCTGTGAGGATGATTGTTTGGTGCTCTTGCATCCCATTATAGCCTCAGATTTGGAATGTGTTCTAACTTGCGTGCCTAATGAGTTTCCAAATGTAAATGTAGTATTTCTCCCAACCATTATAAAAAACAAACATTTTTGTTTTAAAACATTTTTGTTTCTTTGTATTCAAAAACTAATACTTGATATATACAGTAGTGATACCGTCTTAGTGCATTCGCCTTATAATTACCTTCCCTAAACTACTTGATATATACAGTATAGTGCTACAGTCTTAGTGCATTCTCCTCATAATTACCTTCCCTAAACTACTTGATATACAGTATAGTGATACTGTCTTAGTGCACTCTCCTCATAATTACCTTCCCTAAACTACTTGATATACAGTATAGTGCTACTGTCTTAGTGCACTCTCCTCATAATTACCTTCCCTAAACTACTTGATATACAGTGTAGTGATACTGTCTTAGTGCACTCTCCTCATAATTACCTTCCCTAAACTACTTGATATACAGTATAGTGCTACTGTCTTAGTGCATTCTCCTCATAATTACCTTCCCTAAACTACTTGCTGTGCCTTGCAGGGTTTTGTACTGGATGTATTTTTTTCTTATTGTTTGGTGTTGCAGACTCGTATATGGATAATATTTTGTGCCTTTAGATCTTTGCTTTTTGATGTTGGAGAACAATATGCCACGATTCCAATGTATTAATATTCGTGTTGGTTTTAATGAATTTATTTTATATAGTAAAGGAGATAGTGGACTAGATGGTGCATGTTATACATTCAATGTAATATATGAACTGGATGTTCCTGTAGATGTTAAAATGTGAGCTAATACAGAGGTAGGGAAAGCTACCTGTAGAAGCTTCTTGTGTCATAAGGTCAAACATATACTATACAGTAATTATGAATTGTACATTCAATTATATGGATTACATTTAAGTGTTGAGCTTAAATTTGATGATTAAACTCGCATTTAATTGTATAATAAATTAAGGATCATAAAGGCACAAAAACTAAATACTGTACTGTATACTGTACCTTTATCCACCATGTGTTACTCTGTGTGCTTGTTTCTTCATTAATTCACTCCTTATGCATTCAGACATAATAACTTTCTGTGAATGTTAATCTCCCATGTGACTTCCTTACATTTATTTAAACCCTTTTCCTTAGCTCAGTAACCCTGTCATTGCATATGCTAATATTTGCATGTCACTTGTGTGTAGTCGTGGGTCGAACAGAGACTACTACTCGGGAAGAGGAGGAGGTGGTGGTGGTAGTGGTGGAGGGGGTCAGCAACCAAGCCCTGGCTACAAGGATGTGACAGACCAGGTCACTGATGAGTTGGGAACTCTTAGGTCAGTACTACAATAGCTTCTCTTGCCAAGGCAGTTGTTGTTACTTAATACTTATGTAAAGAATATTGCCAAAGTGCTTACAAAATTAAGGAGAGGGAATAAAGGTTTTACACACACACACACACACACACACACACATATGGAGCACCACTTGGCAAATGGAATTTAATGTTAATAAATGTCATGTTATGGAATGTGGAATAGGAGAACATAGACCCCACACAACCTATATATTATGTGAGAAATCTTTAAAGAATTCTGATAAAGAAAGAGATCTAGGAGTGGTTCTAGATAGAAAACTATCACCTGAGGACCACATTAAGAATATTGTGCAAGGAGCCTATGCAATGCTTTCTAACTTCAGAATTGCATTTAAATACATGGATGGCGATATACTAAAGAAGTTGTTCATGACTTTTGTTAGGCCAAAGCTAGAATATGCAGCTGTTGTGTGGTGCCCATATCTTAAGAAGCACATCAACAAACTGGAAAAGGTGCAAAGACATGCTACTAAGTGGCTCCCAGAACTGAAGGGCAAGAGCTACGAGGAGAGGTTAGAAGCATTAAATATGCCAAAACTAGAAGACAGAAGAAAAAGAGGTGATATGATCACTACGTACAAAATAGTAACAGGAATTGATAAAATCGACAGGGAAGACTTCCTGAGACCTGGAACTTCAAGAACAAGAGGCCATAGATTTAAACTAGCTAAACACAGATGCCGAAGAAATATAAGAAAATTCACCTTCGCAAATAGAGTGGTAGACGGTTGGAACAAGTTAAGTGAGAAGGTGGTGGAGGCCAAGACCGTCAGTAGTTTCAAAGCGTTATATGACAAAGAGTGCTGGGAAGACGGGACACCACGAGCGTAGCTCTCATCCTGTAACTACACTTAGGTAATTACACTTAGGTAATTACACACACACACACACACTTCACCTGATCTTTCAGGCATCCCTGTGTACAGGAATCGTAGCAGACGTGTGGAAACAGGCTAACATAGTTCCAATCTACAAAAATGGCAGCAGGGAAGACCCCCTCAATTATAGACCTGTATCATTGACAAGCGTAATAGTGAAAGTATTGGAAAAACTAATAAAAACTAAATGGGTAGAACACCTGGAGAGAAATGATATAATATCAGACAGACAGTATGGTTTTCGATCTGGAAGATCCTGTGTATCGAATTTACTCAGTTTTTATGATCGAGCCACAGAGATATTACAGGAAAGAGATGGTTGGGTTGACTGCATCTATCTGGACCTAAAAAAGGCTTTCGACAGAGTTCCACATAAGAGGTTGTTCTGGAAACTGGAAAATATTGGAGGGGTGACAGGTAAGCTTCTAACATGGATGATAAATTTTCCGACTGATAGAAAAATGAGGGCAGTAATCAGAGGCAATGTATCGGAATGGAGAAATGTCACAAGTGGAGTACCACAGGGTTCAGTTCTTGCACCAGTGATGTTTATTGTCTACATAAATGATCTACCAGTTGGTATACAGAATTATATGAACATGTTTGCTGATGATGCTAAGATAATAGGAAGGATAAGAAATTTTGATGATTGTCATGCCCTTCAAGAAGACCTGAACAAAATAAGTATATGGAGCACCACTTGGCAAATGGAATTTAATGTTAATAAATGTCATGTTATGGAATGTGGAATAGGAGAACATAGACCCCACACAACCTATATATTATGTGAGAAATCTTTAAAGAATTCTGATGAAGAAAGAGATCTAGGAGTGGTTCTAGATAGAAAACTATCACCTGAGGACCACATAAAGAATATTGTGCAAGGAGCCTATGCTATGCTTTCTAACTTCAGAATTGCATTTAAATACATGGATGGCGATATACTAAAGATATGACAGAGCCCGATAGGCTCATGAATCTGTACACCTGTTGATTGACGGTTGAGAGGCGGGACCAAAGAGCCAGAGCTCAACCCCCGCAAACACAACTAGGTGAGTACAACTAGGTGAGTACTAAAGAAATTGTTCATGACTTTTGTTAGGCCAAAGCTAGAATATGCAGCTGTTGTGTGGTGCCCATATCTTAAGAAGCACATCAACAAACTTGAAAAGGTGCAAAGACATGCTACTAAGTGGCTCCCAGAACTGAAGGGCAAGAGCTACGAGGAGAGGTTAGAAGCATTAAATATGCCAAAACTAGAAGACAGAAGAAAAAGAGGTGATATGATCACTACGTACAAGATAGTAACAGGAATTGATAAAATCGACAGGGAAGACTTCCTGAGACCTGGAACTTCAAGAACAAGAGGTCATAGATTTAAACTAGCTAAACAAAGATGCCAAAGAAATATAAGAAAATTCACTTTTGCAAACAGAGTGGTAGATGGTTGGAACAAGTTAAGTGAGGTGGTGGTGAAGGCAAAGACCGTCAGTAGTTTCAAAGCGTTATATGAAAAAGAGTGCTGGAAAGACGGGACACCACGAGCGTAGCTCTCATCCTATAACTACACTTAGGTAATAACACACACAGGCTCTCAGTTTCATAAACACATTTCATCAGTCGGCATTAAATTTATCAAGATTGTGTCAGTCGGCATTAAATTTATCAAGATTGTGTCATACAAACACTCTGTACTGGTCTGTATTACTAATAACTGTTACGTAATGTATACTGTACAGTACTTTAGTTCACAACATGACTTATGTTATTACGATAATTAAATACTGTATATAATTGTCAATTAATTTTATTTTTACATCTGAATTATTTATAGTGCAATAAAATTTCAAATTTCTTACATAAAAAAAACATGATTCTCAATCAGCACAGTACAATTCGTATTGATTATGGGAGATGATTTTTTTCTGCAATGCTGCGTTGCACAAGCATGATTTAAATTGTGATGCTGTATTTTAAAATTCTTAAACATTTTCTTCCTCAGACCCAACAACCCTCAGCAAGGCTTTTACGATGGGTAAGTGATAATCCTGTTAATTGGGAATTACATAGTACAGTACATGAATATACATTGGCAGTAGCTGGGGAAAGATAATACAGTACAGGTGTTCAGTATACATAAGCTGCAGCTGGGGCAAGGATATTACAGAAGAGGTATATACATTAGCACATGTATGTACATGTATATTTCGTGCAATGAGAAAGATAATACAGTGCAGGTATATATAATACAGTGCAGCAGTAATAAGTGCTGTAGCAATAAATAAATAAATAAGGAAAGTAAATAAATAAGGGTTGTATGATCTGTTGTACCTACAGTGGTAGATTTAATATTCATAAAAACTTGAGTTTAACAAGTACAGAAAGTTATCAGATAAATTAAATTTCTCACTGTTTTTCTTGTTGTTGCACTCAGGGGCCAAGGAGGGACGTATGGCGGAGGGCCGCAGTACGGAGGTCAGCACGGCGGTGGCGGCAGTGGCCAGCAGCAGTACTATAGTGGAGGCCAACACGGAGGAGGAGGAGGAGGAGGAGGAGGAGGAGGAAGCGGCGCAGACCTGGTTTCAGGTTTAATTGGTGGCTTTCTTGGCGGGTGAGTTTTGCTGTTCATTTGTGGTTCTGCCTTTACATTTGTTCCAATTTACAGATTATGGAGCATATTATGTGTGTTTTGTAATATACTGTTTCTAATAAGGATTTTGAAATAAATTAGTACAGGGTATTTGGTATATTTTTCAATGTGAGGAGTGGCAGTGTATTAGTGTAAATCTTCACCTGAATTATTCTAGATCCATAGTGGCACTAATTTGTAAGATATATTCAAAAGAGCAAGTAAAAGTTATATATTTTCATGCAGTAAACATATTGAATTGTGTGTGTGTATATAATTCACAAATACATTATTATAAAAGTAACTTCATTGATCCTTATTAATTTAAATAAAACATAGATACACCATATATGTGATTATCTTGTAAAGATCATTTACTATATAAATATATAGCAAAATATTTTTTATATAATTTATGCTTCGTCTTTAAAGACCATGAAATTTGAAGGCCAAAAACATTCAGAAATCTACACGATGCGTATGTGTGTGTGTGGGACTATTAGGCATCATTCAGTAGACGAGGAACTTAAGCCGCAGGCTTCCTTTCCTTTAACAGTGCTCATGTTGGGGGCTAGATAAAATATGTACAATATTGTATATGATGTATTTATTTGTATATTACATATATATACTGTAGTGTATACTGTATGCATAATATACTGGTATATATATTTTTTAAACATATTGTTAAATCAAATTAGTTTATTAAATTCTTTTTGGCATCCAGTGGTGATAAAAACCAACCACAAGGTGGCCCTGGTCCATATGGCCCCCCTCCAGGTCAATATGGTGGAGGTTATGGCCCTCCACAGGGTGGATATGGGCCACCACCGGGCCAGTATGGACCAGGACAGGGAGGGTATGGGCCACCACCGGGCCAGTACGGACCAGGACAGGGAGGGTATGGGCCACCACCAGGCCAGTACGGACCAGGACAGGGCGGGTATGGGCCACCACCGGGCCAGTACGGACCAGGACAGGGAGGGTATGGGCCACCACCGGGCCAGCAGCAGGGTGGCGGTGGAGACATGGCAGGCATGGCTGCCAACCTCATCGGTGGGATGTTTGGGTGAGCGCAGCTGCTACCGCATTCTGCTTGCTGCTTTAATATCTTACTAACATTGTCTTGCAAACATTGCCCCCTTAACATTAATATAATGTACTAGATTTATTTGATTTATTTCATTATGCGAAGACACCTCTTATTTCCAAAATGATCTTTTCTGTAGGGAGCCCCTTGGGCTCCTTGGAGCTATCGGACTGATATATGCTATATTAGTCAAGTAGCTCCAAGGAGTCTCTGGGGCTCTCCTAGAAAATGGTGTTTGACATTCAATGTTGGTTTTTTCTTCATGGAGTGAAGAAGAAAAAAACTGTAAATACTTGATCTCCTCCACATTTTTCGAGCTGCTTGTAATTATTTTCCCAATGTCTACTTTACTTGTGACCTTTTTTCTGCTTCTTTCATTCTTCTGTTTGCATATTTTGATAAGACAACCCCTCATTATTCTTTCTCTTTTGCTACTAAATTCTGGCAAGTATTGACCACTTTATTTGCAAGTAACCAGAAAATCTTGCAACATTTTTCAGCAAATAATTGTGAATACTGGTGCAGAATATTAGCTCTTGACACAACCTGTTTTCTCAACCAATATGTCTTATTTTATACATTATGATTCACAACATACAAGTTATAAAGGGTTAGGTGGGTGGGTGGGTTGAATTCGTGCATTTCTGGTTAGGTTAACCATTTATGGCAAGTCAAGAGAATGGATTACTTGGAGAGAGTACAATTAATACTCATTAATAATTTTATTATTAAGGTGATTATTAAAATCATTAATAATTTTATTATTATTAATTCCCACCTGGGGGACTGAGCTTTTCATGGTGAATGATCGAGATTTGACTTTGTTGACCATTACATGCGTAACATTGCATTACACTTATTAGCATATCTGCTTAGTCATTCTTCCAACTGCTTCTGATTCACCTAGCCTTATCTAGCTGACTTCTAGCTTTCTTGCTTATTCCTTGTTAACCTTAAACTATCCAGATTAAATTTTCTTCCATAGTATTCAGGTATTTAAATTAGTTTGTAACTCTCACTTCGCTCTCATTGCACTCTCTCTGCTCTCACACTACATTATTTATATCCTTAAATCAAAGGTGCTAAAGCTAGCTTGTGTGAATGATTAAATATGCCAGTTTTTTCACTTCACAAGGGAAATGCAGACCTGAAGGTGCACTACCAGTGCCTTGCATTTCATTACTAAAATTCAATGAAAATGTAGGGTGCTTGAGTGAAGCATGTTTTTGTGTGTTTTAAATTTAATTTTTTTGTGGGGGTTTCATGTTGAGTATTATTGAGGTGTTTTCACTTGGTGGTATTGTATGCTATTGTGGCAGTGTTAGAATTAAAACTAGGAGAAGCTCCATAACACGAATCCTGTACTTAACACATACTGTACAGTATTAACAGTTGAAAATGCTCCACTAAATGTTCCAGATTGACCTCCCAAGCAGCTTCAGTCTGAAACTAGCATAGGAAGGTGCTCTGGCATATCAGACTGTGCTTCTTGCACCAAATTAAAAGTGTCTGAAGTGAAAGACAGTATGGTTTTTGATCTGGAAGATCCTGTGTATCGAATTTATTCAGTTTCTACGACCAAGCCACAGAGATTTTACAGGAAAGAGATGATTGGGTTGACTGCATCTTTCTGGACCTAAAAAAAGGCTTTCGACAGAGTTCCACATAAGAGGTTGTTCTGGGAACTGGAAAATATTGGAGAGGTGACAGGTAAGCTTCTATCATGGATGAAAAATTTTCCGACTGATAGAAAAATGAGGGCAGTAATCAGAGGCAATGTATCGGACTGGAGAAATGTCACAAGTGGTGTACCACAGGGTTAAGTTCTTGCACCAGTGATGTTCATTGTCTACATAAATGATCTACCAAATGGAGTACAGAATTATATGAACATATTTGCTGATGATGCTAGGATAATAGGAAGGATAAGAAACTTAGATGATTGTCATGCTCTGCAAGAAGACCTGGACAAAATAAGTAGATGGAGCACCACTTGGCAAATGGAATTTTATGTGAATAAATGCCATGTTATGGAATGTGGAATAGGAGAACAAAGACCCCCACACAACCTATAAATTATGTGAGAAATCTCTAAAAAATTCTGATAGAAAAAGAGATCTAGGGGTGGTTCTAGAGAGGAAACTATCACCTGAGGCCCACATAAAGAACATTGTGCGAGGAGCCTATACTACGCTTTCTAACTTTAGAATTGCTTTTAAATACATGGATGGCAAAATACTAAAGAAATTGTTCACAGCTTTTGAACAATTTTTTTTATTTTGAACTTTATTTTAGCCAAAGCTAAAATATGCAGCGGTTGTGTGGTGCCCATATCTTAAGCAGCACATAAACAAACTGGAAAAGGCGTAAAGACATGCTACTAAGTGGATCCCGGAACTGAAGGGCAGGAGCTAGGAGGAGAGATCAGAGAACAAAAATATGCCAAAACTAGAAGACAGAAGAAAAAGAGGTGATATGATCACTAAGTACAAAATAGTAACAGGAATCGATAAAATTGATAGGGAAGAATTCCTGTGACCTGGAACGTCAAGAACAAGAGGTCATAGATTTAAACTAACTAAACAAAGATGCCGAAGAAATATAAGAAAATTCACTTTCGCAAACAGAGTGGTAGACGGTTGGAACAAGTTAGGTGAGGTGGTGGTGGAGGCCAAAACCGTCAGTAGTTTCAAAGCATTATGACAGAGTGCTGGGAAGATGGGACACCACGAGCGTAGCTCTCATCCTGTAACTACACTTAGGTAATTACTTTTTTAAATATCGTGTTGATCACAATATATGGTAACCTAGGAAACAAAAATGATTAAGTAAACACTGGGAACATTATAATAATAATTAACATAATAATTGTGTTGGGGGACAGGCAGCCAAAGTGTATTCATACACATTAGGCTTATATTGAGCCCCCCCCCCCCATTAGTTCAATTACTTACCATGCCCAGAATGCAACCCTACAAGAAGCTGATAAACTTAATAATAATAATAATAATAATAATAATAATAATAATTTTTATTTAGGTAAGGTACATACATAAAGAGATTTTACAAAGTTTGTTGGGTTAATAGATAGAGCTAGTACATACAGTGCCTAAAGCCACTATTACGCAAAGCGTTTCGGGCAGGAAAAACATTAATGACTAAAGCTTAAAACTAATGGGTAAAAAGAATAAAATGTGTTGAGAACAAATAAAAATAGAGGTAAAAGAGGGGGGAACATGGTTGAAAAAGCAGCACAAATACAATTACAAATTATTACAGAAAATTACATTCAAACAGCGTTGTTTTGAAAAAAAAACAAAAAACATACATGGGTTGACAACAGAGGGGTAAGGTAGGTTACAGGGAATTTATTAGGTAGTGCTTCGTTTTTATCTTAAACTGGTTGAGAGAGATACTGTCTTTAACATGGTTGGGAAGATCATTCCACATTCTGGGTCCCTTGATTTGAAGAGCATTAGTATGATTAAGTCGTACTCTAGGAATATCAAAACTGTATTTATTTCTGGTGTGGTGCTCATGGGTTCTGTTACAACCTTCAATGAATCTTTTGAGGTCAGAATTGGCATTACAGTTCAGTGTTTTATATATGTATAATACACATGAGAGAATGTGCAATGACTTAATATCTAACATATTCAGAGATTTGAGTAGGGGTACCGAGTGATGTCTGGGGCTAGAGTTGGATATTGTCCTAATAGCAGCTTTGTGTTGAGTAATTAGAGGGCGTAAATGATTTTGGGTAGTAGAACCCCAAGCACAAATGCCATAGTTGAGATATGAATTGATGAGGGAGTAATAGAGAGTCACCACGGCAGGGCGGGGTACATAATATCTGATCTTGGAAAGAATGCCAACAGTTTTTGAAACTTTTTTTGATATATTTAGAATGTGTCCCTGGAAATTCAGATTGTGGTCGATGAGAACGCCAAGGAATTTGCCATCTAATTTGTTACAAATTTGGGTATTGTTTATTTTGAGATTTATATGATTAGAGGATTTATTGCCAAACAGAATATAAAACGTTTTGTCAATGTTAAGGGTGAGTTTGTTGGCAGTTAGCCAAAGATGGACTTTCTCTAGCTCAGTATTTACTGTGGCATTTAGAGCAAGGGGGTCAGGACTGGAGTAAATGAAGGTTGTGTCGTCTGCAAATAGAATTGGTTTGAGGTGTTGGGAGGCATTTGGAAGGTCATTAATGTAGATGAGAAAGAGGAGAGGGCCAAGTATGCTGCCCTGAGGAACACCAATGTTGATGGGTAGGGTGGGAGAAATTGTATTATTCACAGAAACATACTGGAGCCTGTCAGTAAGATAAGATTTGAGGTATTGCAGGGAGTGTCCTCTGACTCCATAATGATGTAATTTAAGAAGAAGGTTCTGGTAGTTGACAGTGTCAAAAGCCTTACGCAGGTCCACAAATAACCCAACAGGGAACTCCTTTTTATCAAGAGCTGCGTGAATCAAGTTAATCATACTAATAAGTGCATCGTTAGTGCTTTTTTTGGGTCTGAAGCCATATTGACAAGAGCTAAGTATATTGTGTTTGGCTAGAAAAGAGTAAAGCTGCTTGTAGATTAGTTTTTCGAATATTTTTGACAAGTTAGGCAGGATTGATATAGGTCTGTAGTTGTTAACATCTGTGTGATCACCACATTTGTGGACAGGGGTTACTCTTGCTTTTTTTAGAATGTCTGGAAAGGTTTGGAGTTCAAGTGACTTGTTGAAGAGCAATGCAATAGCAGGGGCTAAAGATCTGGAGGCTTTTTTGTAAATTAAAGTTGGTATCTCCTCGAGGGCACTAGACTTGGTTTTAAGGGAAAGGATTATCTCATTGACACTTTTGAGTACCTACTTACTGCTAGGCGAACAGGTGCATTAGGTGATAGGAAATGCGTCAAACCATTTCTATCCCACTCAGGATTTGAATCCAGAATTCTCTATTATGCATCGAGAACCAACCCAACTGTACTACCAGGACCCTTGGTAAAGGGTCTTTACCAAGACCTATTTTAAAAGACCTATATAAAATGTAAAGGTTAATTTTGTTAAATATGCTGTTGGGAAATTTTTATTTTATAAGTATTTCTCATTATATTCCTTGTTTTATTATACTTGGCCTGAAAAACAAATCTAAAAGTTTATTACATAAACAATTAAACAATTTTAAATAACCAAGATCTGTATATATATTGATTTATACTAAAATATTACATACAATGTAATGTGTAGCCAGGTGAGACAATGAAATACTACAGTTATATTTAAATAAATTATTTTACAAGAAGAATTTTGATTATTTTTTTATATTAGCCTTTCTGTGAATTATTATAATTTATACGCTTATTATTTTAATATTACAAGGAATTGTCTTCATTTATATAAACTGTAGTAATGTTTTAAATACTTTAAATATAAATATAAGGCATCTGAAGATATTTGTGTGAGGCTTTCATCTTCGTAATATTGTATCTATATTTTTATGAACTTGAATCCCCTTGGCTTGATTGCTTTAAAATAACTATTAAATTAGACCTAAAAGTGTGACATGTAAAGGTGACGTGTCCACTAACAAGAACTAAGCCTGAGCTGCAAAGCACAGTAGTAACATGTTTGAAAGTTCCTATGGCATATTAAACCTATCTTACAGTACCACTGTACCTTGCTTTACTGATGTTGACAGTTATATGTCTCTTATATTTTAACACTTAGTTTTTAATCTAGTGCTGGCATTCTTTGTGTGTGTGTGTGTGTTTCTATGAATAGCACTGTTAGTAAAGGCTGTGTTTTTTTGGTGTTGGCTAGTGGGTAGTTATCTCACGGTGTTTACACTGTTTAGACTTTTTACACTCTGTTTACATTCTGTTTACACACTGAATATGTGTCTTGTTTTCCACCTTGAGTTTCCCCGGTGCCATGAACATTGGGAAGGGGTAAAGATAATTGCATAATTTATAAGGTATGTCATATTTTAGTGGTTATTTTTAAATGTTCTCTTGTAAGTTGAGTATCTGGTAATAGATTTTCTTTAAAGATTTAAACAAGTAAAAGATTTTATAGATTTTCAACTATTTTTTTCAAGACAAGCTGACTGTTAGGATCTTTGTACAGTAGGCTTATAGTATTTACACAGGGACACAGTTCTTGAGAGTTTGTGTAGACTTGCAGTAGTACATGTAGATACAGTACCCGAGACCCAGTGCAGGCTTGTAGAGTAAACTTGCACTGCTACATGGAGATACATTCTTTGTTGGTAATTAGACAACAAAAATTGAGATATTTGGTAATTTTCAAAGGGCTGTATTTAAACTTTTCTGGAAGGGTTCCAATGTAGCTCAAATTCATTTCATGTCTGGCCCTTGTGAGACATAAAAGCCTACAAGAGATCAGATGCCAAAATCTGGTCCCCCTCTATAGAGGCGCAAGAAGCAGGGGATTGTTAATTACCCCTAACTAAGTAAAACCCACCAGAAAGGGGGGGGGGGAAGTTAAGAGTCAAAACAGACAACTACAGCAAAAGTAAACAATAGAAAATGTTTTTTTCACAGTACATTTGAACTTTTGGACTTGCTTTGAACTCCCAGTCAGTCAGTGTGTCTGCATGCCTGCATGGTTCTGTTTCTGTCCCAGCTTGCTAGGTTTGGATTTCTGGTGAATTGTCAAAAGTACTATTTGATTCCATCACAGGTTTGAACTTGGTTAGGCCTGGTTTGGAATTATCAGTTGGCTTTCTTCTCCCTTCTGCCTGCTTTCATGCTTTATTTGGGTGCTTGTTTCAGCTGGTGGTGGAAAGTCCCTGGGTCACCCATTGGTTGATGGAGTGGCTGTGTGAGAGTCTGAAATTTGCCTGCATGGTTTATCCTCTGGGTGAGGTTTGGCTCCAGGTGTTGAATCGTCTTTGTTGGTTTCGCCCATTTTGCTTTCATCAGGGCTGTTGTATTGTAGCTCCATGGGCACTTCAGTGGCTTTTGGTTTGCCAGCTTTCATTTTGGGTTTTGGGTTCTGTTCCATGGCTCCTCAACCCCCCCCCCCCCCCCCGCCCCCTTTCCTATGGTTGACTTTTTCATGGATGCCTTACCCTTGGATTGGGTGTTTTTGGCTGTCAAACTGCTTCCAGGTGGTTCATTGTCTGAATTGCATGGAATTGCTTTGGTGTCTACCCTTAGGGGTGCTGGATGTTACAGATACCTAATCTTTTGGTTTCTTGGGGTTTTGGCTTACCATGTGGTTTACTTTCAAGGTATGTCCAATGTTCTGGAAGGCAATCTCTAGTTTTTTGCCTCATCACCATTTAATGGCCTGTTGATGATATGTCTTTCCTTTGACTTTGAGACATTCGTCTGCCCTGAAGTGGCTCTCTTCACATTGATGTAGAACCAGCTACTTCCAGTTATGTGGATGCCTTTTGGCCAAACTGGGGGTTGGGATTTTTTTTTTATCTCTTCTGTCTGGTGTAACTAAAGTAAGAATTGATTCGTGAATGTGGGAACTTTGCTGTCATGTTTTCTATGGTCTGTTTACCTTTCTGTAACCTGTTTATTTGTTTTTCTCTTCCTTTTGTGGTGGTTTTTTTCTTTGCTGGGGTGATTTAGGATCCCTTACTCCTTGCATCAGTATAGAGGAAAGCCAGGTGTTTGAAATCTGGTTTCCGGTAGGCTTTTAAAAGTCTAGCAAGGGCCTGGCATAGATTGAATTGAGTGGATAATGTCAGGCAGTAAGCACCAAGGACTGACCTGAAACTGAGATATAATACATTCAATGTTTTTTTTTTTAACTGCAAAGTTAAATTTGAGTAATTTCAGTGTTATTATTTCTAAAACTTTTGAAATTGTTTAAATGTTTATTTACAGTATAACATTTTATCGCAAGGTGCTTTTATATTCATGCCTGGGGATATATAATAGATCCGGCTAGAATTATATTTCATGTGATTACCATCTGGTAAATGTACATATCAAGGAAAGTTCTAACATAACAGTACTAGCTATTTATCTTCCATATTAGTGTGTGAAATGTGCTAGACAGCATTTAATGAGGCACTGATGTTCATACAACCCAACAGTGGCGGCGGCGGCAGTGGTGGTGGTGGTTATGGGCAGGGTCAAGGTCAACAGAAGGGTGACGGCATGAGTGACCTCATTTCAGGAATGGCTGCCAACTACATTGGGGGAATGGTTAGGTGAGTTATAATCTTGGAAATTAATTCATTCCTTAGGTCTGTGTTTTGGTCTGATTAGGTTTATGTTTTAACATAAAGTAGGGTGTTATAGCCACAGCTCGGGAAATAGTTTCTTCGCACGTTCTGTGTAGACTATTCGGACATGGGTGTACCACCAGTAATTTTGTGCATTTATGTCAATTTTTTTGTTTTCTTATTTTATTTTAGATTAAATAAAATACTGTAATGTAATCAATATATGTATATATCTCCAACCAACAAGAAAGAGCCGAAACATATACTGTATACGTATGTGCATGCTAATTTTTTTTTTTTTTTTTTTACAATACAGCACTTAATTACCAACCTACAGAGCCAAAATGACTGAAGTCCATTGCTGCAAGTATTTGCTGGACTGCTAGACCTGTGTATAATGAGTAAACTTTTAGAAAGACATTGAACCTATTATACTCTTCATTTTCTGCTTTATTTCCTGTTTTAATGAAAAGAATAATCAATCTATTTCTTTTATATTTCAGACATACTGGATAATCATTTACTTGAGTTACTTATATTTCAGAACATTTATTTTATATTCTGTAATTTATATGTTGTTTGCGTTTATTGGGAAGCGTGGAGAAACTTGTCACTACAGTAATCCTAATATAATGCGTCTCTTGGCTCCAACATCTACCTAAATATCCTTCTCTTTGTGAGAATTCTTTATCTTTGTGAGGGTTGTGTATCCTTGAGGGTTGTGTAACGTTTGTTTACGTATACGAGTTTGTCTGATAAGACTCGGAGTTTAGTGGTTTTTTATATTTATTTAGTATGATCTTGGTTACAGCAGTCAGTTGGAGATGTAATGACGTGTCGTGATAGCTGAGATGAGGCCTGGAGCATAGAGCAGAGAGCTCTAGTGAGGCTGGGGGAAAGAGAGCTCAAATGTGGGATGAGAGCTGGAAGCTTGAATATGGCCAGTATATGGCTGTTTGCTCTGTAGTGAGGCTGAAGCATCTTGTAAGAGTAGGAGCTGGACTCATCATGTTAAATTGTTGCTGGTGAATGTCAATGATATTGAAGATCCGAGGTGTACCTCTAGGGCATCTGTTCTGAACCACTACAGTGATGCCTCGATTAACGAGTTTAATCCGTTCTGGCACCGAGCTCGTCACGTGGAAAACTTGTTTTGCGAAACAACAACAAAACTCATTGGAGATGTCCGAGAACCAGCGGGAACGCTCGTTAATTGGGCAAAAGCTCGTCAGTCAAGACATATGTTCTGCGAGTGGCTTGCTCTTTACTCGAAGTGCTCATAACTGGAGCCGCTCGTCACTCGAGGTTCCACTGTATTTAAGTTTATCTGACGACATTTTCGCTCTTGGAACTTGTATATTACATGCTTCACCTGACAGGCCAAGACGAACATCATCTATAACAGGTTACCTCTCAGCATCCTCGGTGATGCTGTACACTTGGAAAGAGATATCAATTGTAATAAGCACATACTGTATAGGATTAGTGTAAAATTTCTTGGAATGTGAAATTCCTAGAAATTTGGGATTAACAAGCATATATAATTGCTGGCACTGAAACTTCTGAGAATTTGGAACAAGTATATTACTTTTAATATACAGTTGTTGCTACAGTTCTTTATCCTTGTGATGGTTCTTTATCCTTGTGACAGCTCTTTATCCTTGTGACAGCTCTTTATCCTTGTGACAGCTCTTTATCCTTGTGACAGCTCTTTATCCTTGTGACATCTCTTTATCCTTGTGACAGCTCTTTATCCTTGTGACAGCTCTTTATCCTTGTGACAGCTCTTTATCCTTGTGACAGCTCTTTATCCTTGTGACAGCTCTTTATCCTTGTGACAGCTCTTTATCCTTGTGACATCTCTTTATCCTTGTGACATCTCTTTATCCTTGTGACATCTCTTTATCCTTGTGACATCTCTTTATCCTTGTGACATCTCTTTATCCTTGTGACATCTCTTTATCCTTGTGACATCTCTTTATCCTTGTGACATCTCTTTATCCTTGTGACATCTCTTTATCCTTGTGACAGCTCTTTATCCTTGTGACAGCTCTTTATCCTTGTGACAGCTCTTTATCCTTGTGACAGCTCTTTATCCTTGTGACAGCTCTTTATCCTTGTGACAGCTCTTTATCCTTGTGACAGCTCTTTATCCTTGTGACAGCTCTTTATCCTTGTGACAGCTCTTTATCCTTGTGACAGTTCTATATCCTTGTGACAGTTCTGTATATTTCAGGATTCTGTGTCCTTAAGGGTTCTGTATCATTGAGAGTTCTTTTTTCTTGTGTAGGTTTTTCATCCTTTTGTGGGGTTTTTATCCTTGTGAGGGCTCTGTATCCTTCAGGGTTCTGTATCCTTGTGAGGGTTCTGTATCCTTGTGAGGGTTCTGTATCCTTGTGAGGGTTCTGTATCCTTGTGAGGGTTCTGTATCCTTGTGAGGGTTCTGTATCCTTGTGAGGGTTCTGTATCCTTCAGGGTTCTGTATCCTTGTGAGGGTTCTGTATCCTTGTGAGGGTTCTGTATCCTTGTGAGGGTTCTGTATCCTTGTGAGGGTTCTGTATCCTTGTGAGGGTTCTGTATCCTTGTGAGGGTTCTGTATCCTTGTGAGGGTTCTGTATCCTTGTGAGGGTTCTGTATCCTTGTGAGGGTTCTGTATCCTTGTGAGGGTTCTGTATCCTTGTGAGGGTTCTGTATCCTTGTGAGGGTTCTGTATCCTTGTGAGGGTTCTGTATCCTTGTGAGGGTTCTGTATCCTTGTGAGGGTTCTGTATCCTTGTGAGGGTTATGTATCCTTGTGAGGGTTCTGTAACCTTGTGAGGGTTCTGTAACCTTGTGAGGGTTCTGTAACCTTGTGAGGGTTCTGTAACCTTGTGAGGGTTCTGTATCCTTGTGAGGGTTCTGTATCCTTGTGAGGGTTCTGTATCCTTGTGAGGGTTCTGTAACCTTGTGAGGGTTCTGTAACCTTGTGAGGGTTCTGTAACCTTGTGAGGGTTCTGTAACCTTGTGAGGGTTCTGTATCCTTGTGAGGGTTCTGTATCCTTGTGAGGGTTCTGTATCCTTGTGAGGGTTCTGTATCCTTGTGAGGGTTCTGTATCCTTGTGAGGGTTCTGTATCCTTGTGAGGGTTCTGTATCCTTGTGAGGGTTCTGTATCCTTGTGAGGGTTCTGTATCCTTGTGGGGGTTCTGTAACCTTGTGGGGTTCTGTAACCTTGTGGGGGTTCTGTATCGTTGTGAGGGGTTCTGTATCGTTGTGAGGGGTTCTGTATCGTTGTGAGGGTTCTGTATCGTTGTGAGGGTTCTGTATCGTTGTGAGGGTTCTGTATCGTTGAGGGTTCTGTATCGTTGAGAGGGGTTCTGTATCGTTGAGAGGGGTTCTGTATCGTTGAGAGGGGTTCTGTATCCTTGTGAGGGTTCTGTATCATTGTGAGGGTTCTGTATCATTGTGAGGGTTCTGTATCATTGTGAGGGTTCTGTATCATTGTGAGGGTTCTGTATTATTGTGAGGGTTCTGTATCTTTGAAAGGGATCTATAACCGATTATGAAGGATCCTTATGTGTGTCTCTTGGAGAGTGAAATATAGTTTTCCTAAGAAATTTGCTGGAATAAATATCGACTCCTATTATATTGTATTCATGTGACCTTGCTATAAAAATGTGCAAATATGGGTTCTACCATTCATTCTAATAAAAAATAGCATAACAGTATGAAACTTCTAAGAAATTTAGAACTAATGAAGTTACTAATTCAACAAATGGTATCTATTATAACTCTGGCTTCTTGGTTGATATGGTATGTGGTTACTTAGATCCGTCCTTTAGTCAGAAAATCAGTAGGAATCTTGAGCATGATTCAAACCTTGACACTGGGTGTTTCCAAGCATATGCCTTAGACCACTTAACCATGACATGCTTCAATGGAAGTCTCGGGGCCCCCCCCCTAGAAGATTTAGTTGAACACCAAGTTTCATTGGTTTGGAGCATGTCGTGGTTAAGTGGTCTAAGGCGTGTGCTTTTGAGTATCCAGTGTGCCGGTTCAAATCCTCCTCGTTGCTCTTACTAGTTTTCTCATTGATACATCACATTAATGGGATTTTTTTTTATGCTTGCTCTAGTTGGCTGTTAAGGGGTATTGGTTGAATCTTGAAGAGTTGGTGTGTGTATAGTGATTTATTTCGAGACCTCGCTTATTACTACATCATCCCCGTCTGGTGGTTGGAAGTCAAGTCTGCCTATGGGTAGACTTGACTTACTAATGAGAGATTCATGTCTTAAATTCTGACGTTAGTTTGGAGTTTGTGATGATTTAGAAAGTGGATAAATGAGTCAACTGTACCTTGACACATTCCTTCAATTTTCTTTCTCAGCTTGTAAGGAAAGCTATTATTTATAGGATGACAGAAATATTATTCTGAAATGGCAATTAATGCTCTGTTTCTGCCTTGGCATATTACCTTAATTTTTCTTCAAATGCATTTCATCATTTGTGTAGTATTAGTCAGTTGATAATAATTGTTAGAGATTTCCTGTTACATGTACATGTCAAATATTTTTGAAAGATGAATGTGTATAAATTCAATTAATTAAATGTTCTGTTTTGATAGTTCATAATTGTGTGTTCAGGTTGGTAAAAGTTACTGACCTTGATTTAAACAGTTTCTTCATCAAATTATGTGTTCAGAAAATGAGTGACAATAACGTGGCTGAAGAAAAGATGACCAAACCACAACTCGGAAGATGTAGAAGCAATGACGTTTCTTTCGGTCCGTCCTGGACGGACACACAACTTGATAATGGTTCTGGACGGACCAAAATATCATCGCTTCTCCATCTTCTGAGTTGTAGTTTGGTCATCAAATCGTGTGTTGTACATCATGTTAAATATTATCACTGATGCATAATATATACTGTACATGTACTGCATTTCTAACTCAAGTGGCAACCAGAGAAACACAGCAAGTAACCAGCAAGTTAACACTAACAACGACCTAATGTCCAGTATCACGTCTGGACTTGTTCAGGGCTTGTTCAGGTAACGGTACATTTATTGTGCAATATTTGGATATAATGATGCATTGAAGTCAAATGGGATAATCTTTACACTACTGGACAACAGATTTCTTTTATTGACACAAACTATAGTTGTGGCTTATTATTATATTAGTAATTTATTGCTTTAATTTACAGTACTTATATTTTGCGATTTTCTTTGACCTGAACATATATCATAAGTTTTAATTGTATAAAAATAAGATCTGAAATCCATTGTCTTCAGTATTTGCTGCTCCTTATTTGTGTGTGTGGGAATACAGGGGACAGGGAGGCGGACAGGCTCGGTATGACAATGCAGGCGGTGCCGGCCAGAATCAGATAGTTACCAGCATTGCTTCAGCTGTCATCAAAGGTTTATTCAGGTAGCTGGGCATGTCATATTTGTCCTGAGAATATATATGGCTTTTGTAATATAAAACAGAAAAAAGATTGATTTGGAGATTAAAATATTGTGCAATATTTTATTAGTTTTATACAATATTGAAAGTTTTATTTATATGTGTGTAAGAGAATTCTGCTAAAATTTAATGTGGACAAAAGAAAACTTATGGTGGTAGAGAGAGAGAGAGAGAGAACAGAATTGTGTGTAAATGTACTGTGAATGAAGAAGTTTTGGAACTGGTAACCTGTTTAAATACTGTACCTCAGATGTGGGATTGATAAAAGTGAATTTATGCACACAAAGTTGCAACCAGAGGAAGTCGAGAAGACCAGGTAGTCATCAAAAAGAGTGGGCTACGCCATTACACCTATATATCACTTGGAAGGGATATGAAGGATAAGGATTTAGGATAGGCTGGGGATAAGAATGGTGCCCAACCATTTGGACGGTTGGGAATTGAACACTTGCCTACAAGAAGTGAGGCAGTCACTGCCATCCAATCCAAGTGGTTGGACATGAATGAGGGAAGAAAGCAGTCTGAGGCAATGAAAACCCAGGTTTCAAAGAACAAGTTGGGAAGAGATATCTCGAGGGCTGCATGAAGGGGTGGTTGTGGCTCCCATCGTGTATGAATACGAGACACTGGTGTGGCTGCAACTTAAATGACTAAGCAATATTAGTTTAAAATATTTGTGATAAGTATATGTGATCTTTAGGTGAATTAAAAGAGCAAGGATAAAGATGACCTTCAAAAAATTTATAAATTATTGAATTGTGGTGAAAGAATGCAGAGATGGTATGGTCTTTCTGAACGAATGGCTGATGAACATTTATTGGAAAATATATTCAAGTAAATGTATGGGTAGGAGGAGGAGGAGGAGGAGGAGGAGATGAGGACCAAAACGTATAGGCAGTCATGGTGAGAGGGAGGGAAAAACTGCCACAGAGTATGAATGTTGCGCCTGAAGTGGAACATAATATGATGACCAAACCACATACATAATAATGGAACATAATACAGTATGTAATTTTAAAGGGTGCTTTTAGTATCTTGAGAAAATGTTTGGTGTGTGTGTGCTTTTCCCATAATGCTCCCTTTTATACCTGGCTACTGCCTTTTTGTTCTATGAAAATGGGAATACTGATCAGTACAGCAATGATTATAAGACACTAATACTCTCAGCATATTTTACTGACCGTGATTGCTCAAACATTGTATAGCAGTGAAGGTGGGCAGGGCGGAGGCATCGCTGCAGCCATGCAGAAATCTGGAATGAATCAAAACATGCTGGCCGGTATTGCAGCCAGTATTTTTTCTGCATTTATGAGGTACATGTTTTACAAACCCAAAATTTATATTTAGACATCAGTACAAGTCATGAAAACAAAAAAATGCTAGGATATCTTTTAAATTGTACAGTTTTCTTAATTCTGTGTAATTTCATATAGATTCAAATTATAATAGTACTGTATGTCTATTTTGTTTGTAATTTACCGATGAATTTGATTAAATTATAGTTGAGATTTGCTTTTCTTTTCAAACAAACAGCAACAACCAAGCAAAACAGAATGTTTATAATGCCCCGCCACCCGCCAACGATTCTGTTATTGCCAATGTTACTACCAGTGTTATTAAGGGGCTGATCAGGTATGTGGTCAAATACTAGATGTTTATTTGACTACAAGAAAACTTTTTAGTGGCAAAGTTATTGTGAATAAAACAAGATTCAAATATAATTGATATAAATTCTACACAAAACTGAGATAATGATGAGGGGATGTTCTTTAAGATCATGACAGAACGTTTATATATTTTGTTATTCCCAAGCCCTGGCCAAGGTAACATAAACCAGCTGCAGACAACTGGTGTGAATGAAGGCATAGCAGGAGCCATAGCTTCAAATGTTGCTAAGGGGCTCTTCAGGTACTGCGTTTGTAGTGACTTAAATACTCTGTCCAAAATTAAATATGGAATACTGTATTTGTCATTAAGTAATCCTATAAAGCAATAACTACCAGTATAGTCATGTAATATACAGGATGAGAGCTTATTGAATATTCTGTGCTTTAGTGAGAGCTACAAAATGATCAGTATATTACTGTCAAATCGTATTCTTTTGGTAGTGGTCATGAAATGGATGGAGCGTATAAGGGTGCATCTCCAGCTGCCAACACGGAGCTGGTACACTGTGTAACAGCCAGTGTTGTCAAGGGCCTCATAAGGTACTTCAGGATATGTTAACGTATTTAAAGATGAAGTTAGCAATTCTGCTATATTGATGCTGAAATATATGCAATATTTTACATGAAAATTGGGATATATTAAATAACAACATTTTAAGTATACAGTATACTGTATGCTTCAAAAATATTTAAATGAAATTGCCATTTCATGTATATGAATTTTTTATGCAAAGTAATTTTCTAAGAAATAAATTGAGTAAAGAAGCCTCATTGGTGTAACTGCAAACTTTTGAACAGTCATAAAATGGTGTTTTTCCTCCACTAGCAACAATGAGGGTTCAGTGGAGAGTGAGAAGGCAGGAGTGAGTGACTCGGTCATCGCAAAAGTGGCAGCCGATGCTGTTCGTGAATATACGAGGTACTTGAAAACTCTCAAACTCCTTTTACACGTTAAATAGATGCAATGGGGTAGTACATCTTAGCTCAGCCCGAGGCAAAGATATGCACTTTAAGATTACCAATCTGTTTACTCAAAGTAAGATTTTATTGGAAGGTCAATAAATTTTGTATGTTTTGTATATGTCTGTATACAATATAATACAGTATGTGAATATTTAAAATTTTAATGTTTTGGTTTCAAAATTTTATTTTACTTTTTAATCAGAAAAGTGAGAACAAGTTAGTGATCTAAGAGGCTGCCCCTGACATAGAGCTGTTAGTTATGCATATGTTATTTTCTTTGCTTATTCATCACAAGTATCAAGAATGGACCTGATGCTGCAGTTTGTTCTATGCTCTTAGAAACTGTTGAGTCTTCAGTCTTTTGGCTACAGATTCATTTTTTTCCAATAAATTCCTATTAATGTGGCCAATATGAGCTCTGAAAAGCATGTTATCATTGGTCACAGTGGCTCAAGAACAGATATAACTTGTTGGTCACATCTGACTTATGTTTTTCTCCAAGTACTCTATTAAACTTGATAATTAGTCAAGTATATTGTGGCACAAGTTTTTTCGTTTTTTTAATGGAGTTAGTGAGCTTTTTTCATTTTATAAAGGCAGCGTTGTTTATGAATTGTATCACGCTTGTCTTTTGTGAGACGATGCAATACGAGACATTATGTACTGTACAGTGCTTGTATGTGGAATACACTTGTGCCGTCATATATGTGCATTCTTATTATTAAACTGCTTAGCAAATTTAAACCTTTTGTTTGAAGGAATAGGTATTTGGAAGATATTATCACTAAAGTACTGAACTTTGCCTTGGACTACATTATTGATAAGACCACTATAATAACAGTATTGATAGGACCACTATAATAACAGTATTGATAGGACCACTATAACAACAGTATTGATAGGACCACTATAACAACAGTATTGATAGGACCACTATAGCAACAGTATTGATAGAACCACTATAGCAACAGTATTGATAGGACCACTATAGCAACAGTATTGATAGGACCACTATAATAACAGTATTGATAGGACCACTATAGCAACAGTATTGATAGGACCACTATAATAACAGTATTGATAGGACCACTATAGCAACAGTATTGATAGGACCACTATAATAACAGTATTGATAGGACCACTATAGCAACAGTATTGAAAGGACCACTATAGCAACAGTATTGATAGGACCACTATAGCAACAGTATTGATAGGACCACTATAGCAACAGTATTGATAGGACCACTATAATAACAGTATTGATAGGACCACTATAACAACAGTATTGATAGGACCACTATAATAACAGTATTGATAGGACCACTATAGCAACAGTATTGAAAGGACCACTATAGCAACAGTATTGATAGGACCACTATAGCAACAGTATTGATAGGACCACTATAGCAACAGTATTGATAGGACCACTATAGCAACAGTATTGATAGGACCACTATAGCAACAGTATTGATAGGACCACTATAATAACAGTATTGATAGGACCACTATAGCAACAGTATTGATAGGACCACTATAGCAACAGTATTGATAGGACCACTATAGCAACAGTATTGATAGGACCACTATAGCAACAGTATTGATAGGACCACTATAGCAACAGTATTGATAGGACCACTATAATAACAGTATTGATAGGACCACTATAACAACAGTATTGATAGGACCACTATAATAACAGTATTGATAGGACCACTATAGCAACAGTATTGATAGAACCACTATAGCAACAGTATTGATAGGACCACTATAATAACAGTATTGATAGGACCACTATAGCAACAGTATTGATAAGACTACTATAGCAACAGTATTGATAGGACCACTATAGCAACAGTATTGATAGGACCACTATAGCAACAGTATTGATAGAACCATTATAGCAACAGTATTGATAGGACCACTATAGCAACAGTATTGATAAGACTACTATAGCAACAGTATTGATAGGACCACTATAGCAACAGTATTGATAGGACCACTATAGCAACAGTATTGATAGGACCACTATAATAACAGTATTGATAGGACCACTATAGCAACAGTATTGATAGAACCACTATAACAACAGTATTGATAGGACCACTATAATAACAGTATTGATAGGACCACTATAGCAACAGTATTGATAGAACCATTATAGCAACAGTATTGATAGGACCACTATAGCAACAGTATTGATAGGACCACTATAGCAACAGTATTGATAGGACCACTATAGCAACAGTATTGATAGGATCTTTGTAAAAATATTGAAGATGTAACTACTGTAATGTGCTGTACTGTGCTCTATAAGGCACATTTTTAAAAACCACTGTAAATTTTTATCCAAGAAAATTTAATACACGTTTTGTAAAGATTTGTAATTTTTTAAAATTAAGCTTGGTTTGCATGAGCCTCAGTCGGAGTGAGCAAACGTGAATGCTTTAAACATCTCCGTGTGTGTCTCAACGTTAAACTTTCTCTTTGTATTGTTGGGCTGATATTCCTTGTGGTACATTGTTATTTTTTCGCGGGGATTCCTTCAGGTGTATTATATTGAAAGTAGCAGTAATCCATAGGTCTGGTCTCTGGTAGGATCATACAGTGTGCTAAGTAGCTACCCAGTGGGCACCATTAGTTGAAAGCTACCGACGTTACATAATTTTAGAATGTAATGTCAGTTGCTTTTAACGAATAGTGCCCACTAGGTAATGGTTGGGAAAGTTATTGTGTCTAAACATTTAATATGATTATTTTAAAGTTAATTTAAGATATGTTGTGCACATTTGTAAGATTAGAAGATCTGAATAACCCTTACTGTAGCAAAGTTAAATGTAACATTTTAAGAGTGCCTCTTGTCTGGAACATGATATCTGACAGGGTTAGAAGCAAGACTGACTTGCCATTGTAATAATGCACTGTAATGTAATTCTTGGCAGAGAATAGTTTTGATATGAATTGTTTAAAATTCATTATCATTTATAAATTGTAGTCCTTTAAGTGAAATGACACTAAACTTTACTTCACGCTCATTCAAATTGATTTAATCTAAGAATACATAATGATGTTCCCTTAAATTGTGTGTGTACCAGTTTCAGTTTAGTTCATTTATTATGGACCCCATACTCATCTTGTGGGCGGTAGTGGAAAGGGTTACAGAGTTTTTAATTTAATCAAAACACTATTTTGTATATTATGGGGGGTGAGTTTTATTGTTCTGCACCGAGGTGAATTATAAGAGACTGTTGAATCCATTTTTATCAGTTATAGCGGGATAACTTTTCTTGGTAGATGTACAAAAAATGGCTTTGTCAACAGCTATTAAATTTCCCATAACAGTCGAGTGTCAGGCAAATTTGATGTCTTTGTAAGGACAAGAGGCACAATATAAGTAAATATATAATGAATTACATATACAATACTGTACTGTATTGTTCATTGAATTTAGGAAAAGTTTAATGTTACTCATTTTACATCTATAACTTTCTGAAAAGAAACTATGCTTCATTATGCATGTCTACTATGTCATTAATGCCATAGGATGTGAGGCGGTAAGTAAATGTTCCCCGGTGTGTGTGTGTGCTCACTGCTGGGCATCTCATATTTACGTTATAAATTGTGGAATTTTTGTTCTTAAGTCTATAGTATTTGGTTCCATATTTATTGTGTTAGTTATCTTGGTCTCTTCATGTTGGCAACTCTCCTATCTATCTTTGCTCAAAATTTCTAAGTCTCACGGAGAACCAATCATAATTGAGACAAAAATGTCCGTATTTCTCAAGACTATTGTATGTGTACACTATTACACTTTGGAGTTTTGCCATTTTCTGTGTTTATTTCTCTTGGTGAAATTTCTAAGCTAATTAAATTTTGTCCAAACTCATCAATTGCCTTCATGCATGTGCATGTAGTATATGTTTGTGTAAATTCACTAGTATTTTCAAGTGCAAGCTTATAATTCAGCTACTTCTTTTCATTCATAAATTTGAAACTGAAGGTGGTTCAGTGCACTATGTATCTAAGTTAATATATTCTACAGGGGAGGACCTTGTCCTTAAGAGTGAGCTCTGCCTGAAGGACTTCTCTGCTCGTGAGGATTATGCAGTATTAAAGAGACTTGATATAACCTTATATACACAACATTAACATAACATATATGTGTGCATATATATATATTTCTGGGGGGAGCCCCGTCGGCTCCCTGGAGCTTTACCGGCTGATATGCTAATGTCAGACTTTGGCATCAGTCATGTGTATGGAGTTCTAGGGCCTACCGGGGACCAGAGCCAGAACCTGGCCCCCTCAGAGAGGCAAGGGGAGCAATGGCCTATAGAAACCCCCATGTGGTTGGAAGCATTCTATGTCTGCCATCGACCGGGTCAAGCATCCAGAAAGGTAAGCATTCCAAAACAAACCCCTATTCTGGTGAAAATTGCTACCTAAGCCGAACTAGTGGATAGAACTCTTCAACAGAAAACAAGGAAACTAGTATGACGTCATACGTCACCGCGCCGCTGTCTGCGCAGCTCCCCCCTCTCCGGGAGGGGGAAAGGGGAGCACCAGACCTCCCACGCCGGCTATCCACCCATCAGTTCTTCGGCTGATGCTATAGGCAATGGTTATGTGCTCCGGCTCCAGTGGTTGTTTCAGCACTGTACCTAGAGTGTGGTGTCTGTTTTCTAGGTGGTGCGTGAGCCGGGAGTGATTCTTCAGTACTCGGGCTGCATGCGCCTAGGGTTCCCTTCCCTAGGTGCCCTGTAAGTACTGCCCTTGGGGCTTGGGGCCACCTTCCACAAGTTCCTTGGGTCCTGCCCCTGCTTGGCCGTTTACTGCTTGGTTTTCGGCCGCTCTTTGTGTGCTCGGGTGTTCTGTCTCCCTTGTTCGCCATAGAGTAAGGGGCAGTGTTTGCACTGGTGGGGCGCGGGGTACTGTGCAGCTTGTCTTTACCAATCATAG